AGGATTTGCCAGCAAGGTCCTTGGGGGAGGCTAGACGTACCAGCTCTATGCCACACAGGTTTTACAGCCCTCCTGCTCCTCATGGGAATTAATGAAGTGTCAGTAACTGTTTTAAGTCAGATATATGACTACTTTTTGCCACCTGATCACTGTAGAAGGATTAAAAAGGGTTCAGGACTGAAGTGATGGAGCTGCTTCAGATTTGTATCAGCAGCCGTGGGATCTACTGAAGATCTGGGGCATCTATGTGCATTTGATGTACACTGTACAGCTGAAATATGCTTTTCCTTTGTGCTGTAAGTACACTGAATCATAACCTTCTACATACCGAGAACACTCGCAGTGTTTCTGGACCTATCAGAGGAGAAACCATTTTAACATATTTTCTTTAACAACTGTTCTTTTTGGAATAATTTTTGTTCTTTCCTTTTAGTACAGCAAGTACTTGAATAATAATGGCATTCTTCTTGGCAGCATTATTCCTAATAAGAATATGCAGAGAGCAACAATTTCAAAAACACAGAAAATATGTATATATTTTGATAAAAGACAAATTTTGGAGACGAAAATAGTCTATAGAATCAAAACCACTGTGAAAGTAGCTAGTATCTTATGACCACATTGACTTAAGAAAGAAAGAAAAAAATTAAAAATTGCAACCTAGGCTGTTTAGTGTGTATATAATACTCTAACATGCACTTTCAGTCAACTGAAAAAGGCATGATGTGCTTTTTGAGCTAGTGTTCAATAAGTTTTTCAGAGAACACGCCCTTTTCATATAATTCATGAAAATGTGTAATGATGAGTTATCATTTCTTTCAATGTCTTGAAAGTCTTGTTGAAAGTTAGTTTCACAGTATTGTAAACACACGGTTGTTCAGCAGTAGTATGAGCTGTAAAAGTAAGCTATTTTTTGCAGCACTGGTGAACACGCTTTGGAGAGGTAACAAAAATGAATGGTGGTTGCCAGATCATGCTCCTTTTCTGGCGCTTTGCTCTGGCACACTTTGGGATAAAAGACATTGGTTTTCTAGCCCTATTTAGATCAGCCAGTGCATAAAAGAAAGTGAGTTTTAAGAGAGAAAAAGGCACAAGGTTTTGCTACAAATTTTAAATGGCATACTATTTAACATGCTATTTTTTTCAGTTAATATTTTTTAATAGAAGCTGTGTAACTGAATAGCACAACACACACTTAAACATCCAATAAAGAAAGCAACTCTCTGAAAGTTGCATGGTACTTGTGATCTAATAAATTTTTCAGCAAACAGTGAGACTGAAAATTCAAACATTAAACTTTTGGTTTTATCAAAAGAATCATGATCATCATAGTATATAGCAATAAAATCCCTGACATTGTTTTTGGATGTGTGCTGTATTTCCTATTTCAGACAAAAGATGTTAATCATGATGTCTGCTTATGATAAAACAGCAGTGAATATTTCAAACATTAATAACAACTGCGTTGTTTCATGTGTTCATTTGTGTTGCCTTAAATGTAATACAAAGAAAATACAGAAAATGGTAACTTAAATCAGTATTTTCCAGAGATACACACTTCTTTGATAAAGGATTTTGTGGAATTGTCCATGTTTCATTTGGAGTTCTGGTTATTCCTGCAAGCAGTTTCTGGTCCAAGAAGCTTCCTGCATTTTCTGGGGCCTGTGAACATGAAGTTGAGCTCAGGGCTGCTGGAGAATGCAGCTGATCCGCGCAGCAGTGAGGCAGCTGAGCCTCCTGGGTTGTTTTATCTAGTCAGGATATTCAGGGTCATTATTCAGGAAAGGGCTTAGTGACCGAGAAAGAGTTTTGAGCTTGGTGAAGCCAAGGCATGAGATTTGATAACCTGTCTTTCAGCTGAGTAAGTGCCAGGACTCAACAACACAGCAACAGCAATTTTGCTTTGTTTTTAACATTTTCTTAAGATTTTTGCCAAAGGAAAACATAATTGCTGATAGGGATCTGGTACATTTTAATACTTAGTTACATAGTTACATGATATAATAATACAGAGAATGCAAGCAACTAAGTGGAGGGTCCTTCCTCTGCCAATCTTATTTTGAACTTTGAGTGTCTTGGCATTTGAGAACAGATCTTGAACTTCAAGGCTGGATGTATTACAATGATTTTCAGACTAACAGAGCAATAGAATATGTTTTCTTCTGGTGTAGCTACTAAAATTTCAACACAGGTGTACCTTTATAGTTATATATAGAAATTGTAGTAGATTTAAAATGTATATGTAGAGAATAAGAAAGAGAACTTACGGAGAAGTATATTATTAGGCAGAAAGAGAGGACAAGAAACAAGTGGTAGAGTGGGACTGAGTAACAGATGGGAAAGGAGGCTCAGACTGGCAGGAGAAGGCTGTTCAGAGGAAGAGAAGGTGGATGGAAGAAGTTCAGCAAATTTCCAAATCGCCAGGATCTGTGACAGTATGTGTGGAAGCCAGCAGATGAAGGATGCCTAGCCTGGCTGTTCTTGCTGTTCCTCAGGCTTAACTTGCTCCTGTCTCTATTAGGTTAGAGAAGAGTGTTCAAGTCAGCCTTTATTCACTACATAAGGAGGATTAAGGTTTTTAGATTAAGCCCATTTCCACATAACTATAAAGAGGAATCAAGTCAACAGTAAGACGCTGAGTTGTACTGAACTGATTTAAGTTTTTGATTTAACAAATACATTATCAGCACCAGATATTTTTAGGACTCTGTGGAAGCTATATATGTCATATATGTATAGATGTACAGACTTGGGTTTAAGTAAGTAGTATTAAAGATCTTAATTCTCTTTGGAAAAGGATAAGCTTAAATTAGCCATATGTGACAGTATGCATATGTTAGTGTTATGGACAACGGAATGAGAGTTGGTTCCCTTGGAGGGAACCTTGGTCTTGGAGGATCTGGGCGTTGTCATTCACAGATTTCACTAGAATCCTTAATGAAACTTGACCGTGTGAGTAGGCCAGCCCAGAGGGGTGCTATGCACAGACTGTGTAATTAAACAGTGCCGCAGAGTTCACTGGTAGAAATTGCTTTGTATAAGCATATAAGCATATAATCTACCTGCTGCCTGCACCTGTTGCTAATCTTTACAAGGAGAAACAAAAATATTTTCCCTTTCCTTACCATGGAAAGGCTTGTCAGAAGTCTAACCTTCTCAAGCTGTAAAACAGGTGGGAGATTGTTTCTTTGGTTGGAGTGTGTGTGTGGGGAGAGCTAAAATGGCATTTCTGCAAGTGGTCTAGCCTGGTAAGATTGGTATAGGGCATGACATTTGGGAAGGGGAAAAAAAAGCATCAGACAAAACATTGGCAATGTTAATTAGTAACGAATGAAATAAAAAATGTATGAATGCTTTATAAAGAGTGAAGTTGTAATTAGTTTCTTCTGATGTGAAATATACTAAGACTAGTTCTTAGGAAATTTAAATAAGTGGCCCTTACCACTCATTTTCCGTCTACATTTCTTTCCCAACATGGACTCCATTACTAATGCACTGTCACACAGTCAAATGTTTATAATACACCATTTTATAAACTTAATCACAAATACTGTAGTTGCCACAGTCCAATTACACAGAAAACCTTTACATTCTCTAGTGACAGAATTTTAACTGTTTCAATATACCATTGACCCAATGCAGAGGAATGTGCTTTTAAACAAGAAATGCCCAAATATCACCTTGTCTACAGCGGCTCTGGAAGCCAGCCTGGAATTCAGATCCCATAGATAATTAATTCAACTATTGATTGGTATAAACTGTTCTTGTTATAGTTCCCTTGAGTAACCAGGAATTTTAAATTAAATGGTAAATATGGTGAAAAACGTAAAGCCCAAGCATATTTTATAAATTCTAATAAAGTTAATTCTTAGTAGAAGTTATCCAATTACAATTTTTCTTATGCTTCCCTTAAATTCAGAGATATTTATGAAAATTTTGATTTGATAGAGACCTCTCAGGCATATAATATGGATATAAGTTAAATTGTTGTATTAACTAGCTTTATTCTATAATTCCTAGAAAAAAAAAAATGTTTCATGGTGCCTTTTGCAACTTAAAATCCATAGTTTTAAGGCTGTATACAACTTCTGTATATGGAACATGGAGTTATATTAATATTCTGGCCAAAATTATCCTGCACTATGTATAAGAGAGAAAAATTCTGAAACGTTTACAAAAATGTAAAGCTATTATGCTTCATTCATTGATGGGTTTACTTTTATAATGGGGTAATTTAGAGACTTTAGTAGAGTAAGGGGTAGTTACACGAGGGTCTTCCTTGTCTCCTCTTACTAATTGCAGGGCTGCATTTGAACTGATATGTTGTATGTCGCACATACTTGATAGCATTTTATTTGCTTACGTACTTCACATTATGTGGGTGTGTGCATTGCATGACTTCATAATCAATATTTGTGAGTTGAAGTTACAGTTAATTGAAAAAAATGCCATGTGAGCTGAAAAGATTGGACAAACAGCATTCCCCATCTCTCACTATGTCATCTACTCAAGGCTTGCTTAGTAACTGTACTGTTGGTGAGGTAGTTCTAGCTAGAGCAGACAGAAGGTATACTAAAGCTCAAAATATGGTTGTATACCTGGGAGAGTATGCTGATGCAGCGTAGTCTCAATGAAATCATGCTTGGGGGGAAAAACAAGAGAGGGCTCTAAAAGTGGTGAGCAGAATACTTGGATCCTCATGGATCTCCTGAGCTGTGCGTACATCTGCTGCACAGGGTGTCTCCTCTTTGGGCTCTGCTTTCCTCTACTCCTGTACAAGGCTATGATTTTACTCTTGGCCTTCTCTTAAGTGCTTTATGTATGTGTTGTATGCTACAATACAGTTCACTAGCACTGGCGGAACCTGATACAGTACTCTGCAATTTATTTAAGTTTGTATTCATTGCTGTGTTAAAAATAAATTGTGGTTAATTATGAATATACCCTTTTCACTGAAAAGGCTATGTACGGAAATAATTATTTAGCAACTGAATACCTTTTTTTGTATGTGTCATTTGCTGTGGCTGCCTGCAATTTTTTAAAGATAAAATTACATTTTTTAAATGAGGGGAGGAAAAGAATTTTTTTTTGTCCTGTTTCATTCCTAAAGGACTCAGTGACGGTGACTTTAGCCATCAAATTTTTTGGGGGTTGCACCAATCTTTCTTTTCTCTCCTCATCACAATAAACATGCAGTGTCAGAGAGCATATTTAATGCTTTGAATGTAGCTTATGCCTGATATTACACTGTAGTTGTCAGATTACATTTTAGATGCATTTTAACAAGACAGCCTTTACAGCTGTGTTTTCTGTCTTTGTCATAAACAATCTCTTCTTTTGTCCCCTTTTATTTAAAGATTTTCCAGATCATTTATAATTCATTGAGAATTTGATGATACAGTAGTTCACCTGCTGGCAGTGTTAGCACTGTAATTTGAAAGCACTGCAGATCTGATTACACTGTCAGTCATGGGATAATATTCTCAAATTCACATCTCTCGTATCACACCTGCAAAATCAGTGGGTGAAACAACTTGATTAAGGTCAGAAAAGATGACTGACTGAGGTGTGACACCCTATCAGTATTGGGTTTAGTGGCGGAGAATGACAGGAGCTCCCAGTGCTATATTTTAGTATGAAAAGAAATTATTAACCAGTCCACCAGCAGCTGGCAGCATGATTGACAGGTGAGATATGGGTGCTAAAAGCTTCAATAGTAAAGAATATAAAAGACTTTGGTATTTTAGGACTCTACATTTGCTTTGCTTTATTACTCATATCTCTACAAATCACTGTTGCAGGAGATTTTGTTGAATATAGGATTTAGTTTTCTATACCAATATAAATGAGTGACTTTAGATTGGATCAGTCTCTCATGTGGGCAAAGTACTAAATTAAAAGAAACTATTGACAAAATTCCAGTATGGTGCCAATCATGCTGTGCCAGTTTTTGTTTTACTTTTGGTTTAGTTCTTAAAGGATGTGTCTAAGGGTGTGTCTAACTTCTTTTTCCACCAAAGTAAAGTTATATGTATAATTTTGCAGTTGATTGACAGCAATGACATTTTTAAGACTGCTGGAATTTTGGTTGTGTCAGCAGACAGCACGAAAGTGAAATAATTCATGGAATAAAAACATCCTGTGTAAAACGGAACGAATGTCAGACTGGCTTAAAATCATTGTTTTGAATAAATCATAAAATAACTAGTCTGTTTTCCATTCTGCATCTGCAGTGAGTTAAATGTATTCTGAGTAGGTATTGGAAAGATGCATTTTTCTCTGTTAGGCACATTCAATTTTATATTTTTACTGTATTTTGTTTCTTTCAGCCTGTGGAGAGACACTGCAGGAATCTACAGGCAACTTTTCTTCTCCAGGATTTCCAAATGGTTATCCTTCGTACACACACTGCATATGGAGAATCTCTGTGACCCCAGGGGAGAAGGTATTTTAACATTCCCTCAGCTACACACAGATACTATTTTCAAAATAAAATGTTGCTTTTCTTTAGCTTTTAATTTAAGTTTAAAGTTTGCATAATAATTGAAAACAATGGTAAGCCATAAAAAACGGGACCATGTACTATGTGCTATTGACCTGACTTTAGTCTGTGGCATTAGAACCACATCACCTATTTGGTGGCTGTCTCTGTGAAATGAAGGTGTGATTTCAATCTGCTACACATTTGCATCATGAAATCCCTTCAAAACTGGCTTCCAATTCAGTTGGTGTTTTGGTGCAGAAGTGGAAGAAGTAGTTCAGGCTCCTGAACGGTCTCTTCTCCAGCATGGGGCTCAGGCAAACTGACTGAGCTGTATGGGGCTGATAGCTGGGCTCCACCTAAGGAAGCTCTTAGTATGTTGAATGAGATGTTTCTAAAGTGAAACAGTAATAACATGGGGTAAGGAAAGTGTCATTATAGGTGTTCCCTGGTATCAGTTCTGATGCATATACTTTTACTTTCTAGGCATGAATTTTAGGGAAAAAAAGTGGGGGGAAAAAAATTGGCTTGGTGAGAGCAGTTTGGGGAGAGAAGTGTGCCACCCTAGTGAAAGCAAAACCTGTTCTTCTTGTGTACGCTTTCAAAACAGGCTAGCTGAATCTTGTTTTAAATTATTGGCTCAAATATTAGCCTGCCTCAAAATAAAAAAGGACAGAGGGAGCAATGGGAATTTTCACCTGAGACAAAATATGCAGGGGAAAAAAAAGGATGTAAGTTTCTTTATAAGAAGCAGTGGCCAATATTAAGCAGTCAAATACAGCCTAAAGACTGAAATATAGAATCTAGCACCAGCCTCAGTACTGGGGAGTCCAAAGAGGAAACCCCAGCATTTGCCCCCAGATATTTCAGTCAGTTTTTTCAGTGGGCTCCCACTCCATATTGGACATAGTTTTCTCCTGACTGGATTACTTTATTCCACGTTTCTTTCAGGTCAGGGTCCTGGTAGACACCAAGAATATATGTTCTTGATGTGCTAATAGATCCTGAGGAGCTGTAAGAGCATTTGCCACTATGGGGGATGAAAGCAAAGTCATTTGGAAAGTGTTCGCCCTCCTCTGGGCAAGAGCCAGAGACAGGAGGAAAAATAAACACACTCTGTGCTGGGAAGGTGTGGGTGGCTCTGCAGGTTGGCACGGAAAAACAAATGAGACCAGATGAATAAGCGAAGGTTTGCGCAGAAGATGCAAATTAATCTAGATAGGTAATTTTATGTCCCTGCTATTTGTGTTGCTTTTTAGACACTGTTGTGAAAACAACAAAAATGGCTTAGATTTCTATTCCTCTTTTAAAAAATAAAAAAATTGTAGTGTTTGTCTCCAATTATTATTGGCTTTTGAAAACAATATTAATATATGAGTTAGAAAATGGTCATGTTTAAGTATTCATAGCATACTACAACTTTGTGTAAGCCTATCAGTGGATGTTAGCGTAATTGTAATATATTTGTAATACCATTATGTCCTGAGATTGTAACCACCGTTGAAGCTGTATTAGACTATACAAAAGCCTAATGGGGGAAAGCCCCTGTCTTGAAGTCAGCCAGTGTAAGAAGACCGGCTCCCTTCCCATCTTACCCCCCACCCCAAATGGGGAAAAGGACTAAGCAGAATTTTCTAATTGAAATTTGACATGACAAGTCGTGTCTGTAGGGCACTGTTCTGACCTCCAGCTCTCATAGTCTCCATATAGTTCAGCAAGAACAAAGTAAATAATATTTGTGCTAATGTCAAAAAGTCTGTTTTGTCAGTGCTATTCCCATAGGATATTGTCTGTCTTGAGATAAAGGACCCTATTTGCAGCAAGTACTTGATGTGAATGGCAGATAGCAGAAATGAGGGCTAAATCTTAACTAATGCATATATCACGGTACCTTGGACACACATTATGCTTGATCCCAGATTTTCTCAGTAAATGATGATAACATATTCATATTAGGAAGGGAAAATAAAAATATATTTAACTTTTTGATCCTTTGTTTGCTGCTTTGACCCTGATAGATCTCAGGAATGTTGTGTGGAGGTTAGAGTACGTATAAGTACATCACATCATGTTCTGAAATGTCAGTGAGCACTTTAGTCACCTAAAAATAAACTGAAAAAGCATCAGTCCAGATTGTCTAGCTCTTGTCTCTTATTTACTGAGATTTAACATTGTACTGTTTGAACATAGTTTAGAGGGCTTCTATCCATGCTGCTTTCTGCAAGTAAAGACACTTCCTATCTTTGATGGCAGGAAATTCAATGAAGGATGGGACTGCAGTGGTACTCACTAGCTGCAGCATTCCTTTTTGTTCATAAGCATCGTAAATTACCAGCCCAACCTAAACTGTGTGTGTCCCTATTACTAAAACAAGGTGGTTCATTCACCTTTTACTTTTTCTCAAGACTTGAGACTATATGGTAAACAGCTGTACACAGTACATCTATACCTAGAAAAATCTCTGGGGGAGGATGGTGTTAGGAATACTGTATGCCCTCTGCCAGGGTGAATCCTGCCTTCTGGTGTGTAGAAATTTTGTTGGCATAGGGAGTTGCAACTGTGCCAGTGTTTCTTTTTTTAATCCACCTTTTTGAATAGGTTACATTACTTTCCAATTTTCCTTCGTGTTTAACATGAATGATAAAACAGGACAGATAAATCTTTGGTTGATATGGGAAGAAATGACACCTGCAGAAAACTTAGTGTGTACTACCTGGTGTTTGCTATATATTTTGTGCTTTCTTATCCCAGGCAGTAAGAGATATGATAAATATTCTCTCTGAAGCTGCAGTAGCACAATTGAATCTGCTGCGTAATCAGTAAGTCCTTAATTGTGCTGACAAATACCCATTGGTTGTTTTTCCTATGAAGACTTTCAGCCGTCCTGTCCCCTTGAACAAGCTCTGCCTTGTCTGTAGCTCTATTTAATACTTTGCAGAACTGCAAATCAGGATCTTAAATATATTTATACTTGTTTGGTTCCCGACCAGAAATCATGCTGTGACAGACTGGGGGTTCTGCCTATGTACAGCTAATGAATTCTGGTCAATGTTAAGGAATTGCTGTATCATCAAATACTTTGGCATGTCAGAGTGAGAAAAGGCTGTGAAGGTTATTTCATATAGTTTCAAAGGCAGGGGCCATTGAGGAGGCTAATTAAATTTTAATGGTTTCCATTTAGATAGCAGCACTTTGAGACAATGACATGATCACACCTAAGTAAAACCATCCTTTTCCCAACTTTATCCTGGCAACTAAGGTTTGGGAAAAGGCAAATTTCCAAGCAGAGAACAGAGAAATCTGATGTTTCTGCTGTGTCATGGAAAATGGAAAACTTGTGGCTTGACTGGTGAGAGACCTCCAGGCTCTACACAGCTGAGCCAATGGAGGAGGTATAGGATGTGGCTTCCATAACTTGCTTCCAACAGAGCCAGCTGGGTTAGCTTAAGCAGCTGTGGAAGGTAGCCTGACCTTAACCCAGCTGCCTGCCTCTCATCTGGGTAAAGAAAAAAGCTCCCCCTTGTGAACCTCTCTGCCTGCACAGCTGGGGTGAGATGGGCATGGGTAGAAAAGGACAAGGAGACTGCTGAGGGCAGTAGGGTTTGCAAGCAGTACGCCTAGATAGAAACAGAGATACCTACCTATGGTCTGAGAAACTCAGGAAAAAAAGAAGGTAGCGGTTTAGAAGGAATTTGAACTGCAAAGTGGATGAGCTGAAGAGAACAAAAATTATGTAGTTGGTGAGGCCTTTTTATTTGAAGGACAAGTTCAAGAAGAAACAGTCTGCAAAGGATAGACAGAATTGCTGTGTGAATGAGAGAATATACAGGGCCTCTCTGCCATCCTCATTGGTAGATTCAAATAGCACTTGGAAATGTAGCAAAAAACGAAGCAGAGGAAAGCACATGAATCATTGTACTTTCAGCCACATCTGCATATTTCGCATGGAGAATAACATGGTAAGTAGGTGGTTTTGGAATTCTGATAATATTTGTGCATTTATTTCTTCAGTACGTGTCCCTGAAGGAGTGCCTGAATAGTAAAGGCAAAATGCCCTGTGGGTTAGACGTCTGGGAAAGGGTGCATGTAAGCTAGAAGAAGCTTGAGAGGTGTAGCAGTAGGCAAAAGCAAAGAGGTGAGTTGTGAGGTTCCCTTTCTGGGAAGGAATGGCATGGGAAGTCTGCATCCCAGAAACAAGACAAGGAAGTTGAAACACGAGGTGCTGCAGTTAGACTAAAAGAAGCTTGAGAGCATGTGGATGGACACAACCACAGTAACCTAGTGAATGCCAGCTAGGGAATCAACTAATGCTTTGATGCATGCCATTTTTAGGTAAACAGTGCAATAGTCTGGAAAGTGAGTAGTATAACATTGCAGGATTTCTGTCAATTTTCTCAATAACACTGGAAGGAAAACATTCTTCCTATTTTGCAAAATTAAAACAAAAAAAAAAGTCATTCTCCACCAAGGCCCCGGTGCAAAACTGGCAAGGGGAAAATGAGATCCGTCTGAAGAGAGATATAGTTCAATAGTTGGATTGAAGATAGAGGTGGTTAGATAGAAACCCAGATTGTAGTGCTTGCTCTGCTGAGAGTGCATCTGAAGTGTGTGCTGTGCTTACCTGAAGCATTCCAGTTGTCCCTCTGCTGTTGAAATTTGTTCTACTTAACCTGACTAGCCACATCTGAAATGGGAAAGGAGTCTTAAAGTCTAGCTCACAGAACTTGTGGAGATATAGAAGATCTAGAATCAAATCTTGAATGTCTCAAAGTTGGAAGTTCAAATCCTTGGAGTTCAACAGTGGACTGTCTGGATAATTTGCTTACTGGCTTTCACAAAAAAACCCCTACAAACCCAAAACCAAACCAAACCAAAACCAAACCCCTCCCAAAAGACACAAGCAACACTCCCTCCTTCCTCCCCGCCCCCCAATCCCCTACCTGTTCTAGCTTTAAAAGCACTGATTTGATATATTTTCCATATAAAAGCTATTGTTCTAATTCACTGAATGATTAAATGGGTGAGCATTTCATTATCTTCTTAAATTCCATGCTTATGTAGATAGGGGATGTGTTCATAATACAAGATATTGATTAAAACTGTTTTTTTCATTAGGACTTAATTTGCTTTGTTTTTCAAAGTTTGGGGAAAGATTATCTATATTGAAAAATAGTTCAAGATATTAGAATACCTATTACTGCAAACCTTTCAGTATAAGGAACATGTTTTCCTTAAATATATTCATTTCTACTGTAATTTCTTTTGCAACAGAGAGAAGGGATTGCAGAGCAGTTGTGTCTGATTTCAGATTAGTCAATTTGCATCTCTGAGCTCAGGAAGGAAGCTAACAATATAATTTGATGAGTATTCATTTTTATAGGTCTTTATGTTTCAGAGTGCCAGTGGCAGCCTGGACATGAGTTAATATTATCTAAATATATTATCAAACTAACATTGCAACAGACATTCTTTGCATATAGATCTGAGACTGAATTATTGCCTCCCTCTGTGGCCCTAAAATGGCAGAAGGGAGGGGCAAAAAGAGAGAAGGCAGGCTGTATTTGTTGCATTCGCTACACCAAAAACGTACCAAAGCTGCTTGCAGGATGTTCCCATGTAGAACACAGTGCTAGAGGCAGACTGCTGTTTAAGCAACCCTTTTGCATGTTTTGTGGATGTGGTAGCAGCTTGTGGATATAAATGTTTGGCCATACTCAACCATCAGAACAGGTATTCATTTATTCAGTGCTGTCCTGATGGTCCTTGGCATGCTTCGTGTCCCATACCTTCATCCCACAAGGCTGTGGCTGCCAGCATAATGTGCCTCACTGTACAGGACTTCTGGCTGTTGGGTTTTATGTGTAGCCTTACAGATGTTTTCTGTTTCCCATGTCATCATGGTAGTAAAGGCGAAAGCTGAACAGAATCACCTGTGAGCTTGGTCTTCCACCCAAACAGTCAGTAGTGTCAGCACTAGGGCACAGGGGAAGATACAGCTTTTCAGATTAAGTCAGAAAGTTTCCCATTCTCCATTGAAAACAAAATAGATTTTTGAGAATGTAATTGCTCGCATGGATGTACTTAGTTATTTTTTGTGGAAAGTAAGTGAAAGCAAAAGCCCTGCTAGCCTAATGTTAAGACACATAGTGTTTTGCTGCGAAAGATTGTCTCCATTTTGCATTGTTTGAAGAAGAGCCTTACCGTGGCTCTCTACCACCTACACGCCCAAACCACTGAGCTTTACGTTATCTTTAAATTAGCTTCCTCCAATAGCTAACAGGTTTTGTCTTCATAAAATTAAACAGTCTGAAAAAGTTCTGCCTTTCTGATTTAATATTGTACTATGTTGTGGTTGGAGAGACATATGGTGCCTTCAGAGGAGATGGAAGTAAACCATCCCGTCTGACTATCTGGGCCCGTTGCTCCAGTTATGGTGTTGTATTTCCTCCTTGCAGCTGGACGAAGGGTAAATTCCTCTCCTTTCAACTGACACTCAGAGCTGCTTCATAGGCTGCCATGGAGATATATTTTTGCAGTGTGAGGTATTTGCTACTGTGCAGCAATTAATGTTTGCTTTATAATAGCAGGTTTCAATTGTGAGTTCCTAGGATCAAAGCTAAAAATAAAGCCACTTCTATGCTCATATGTGAATAAAGAACACTTTTAGTTAGGCTGAAATATTTATTAATCTACACTGAGGAACTGATTTGGAAGAAGATGAGTTCTTTTTCCAAATACACCTAAATCCAATGAAAGGGTATGAATTGGAAATTATTTTATAATACAAAATATGAATGATTTTTAACCTTCTTGTTTGGACTTATCCCTGAAATTGCAGGGCATGATACTAAGACTGTCCTAGTCAGTCAGTGTCCAAACTGTAGCTATTGTGTCATCCTGTGATCCAGAATGAATCCTATTCCTATGTTAAAAGTTTACGTTTATGGCAGTTTAGGATTAGTATTTCTAAACCAAAGTGGGATAGTGTAATGGTCTGGGGTAGTCCTGATGTTAAGTATTGAACATATGCCTATTTACAGATGTGCTCAGTAAAATTGGGAGGTCAAGTTCAAAAGTTCCAGAAATGCACAGAACTCAGATTTCTGTATAAAAAGCTTTATTATAGTTTCATTAAAAGTCATTAAGGGAGTGTGTACCATTTGTTTTAGTGCTATTGCTTTCAGCATTACTGTCCACCATTGTCAATATTTAGCTTATCTAAAAGTAAATTATCTTGTCAAAACAGTAGTAGAAGGAAACACAAACCAAAATAAAACAACATTTTTTTTTTTTCAGCTGTCAGTGCTGATTATAGTCAGAATGGAATGGAAGAGGAATTGGCAGGAGAATTATCAAATAACATACTATAAATTATATTAGGACATTATTTTACCTTATTAACATTCTCAAATTTTTATTTCTCCATGAAAAACTCCCTGTAAGCAATTAAATGTGAGTAGTCTGTCTTGAATCTGCTCAAATATGTAAGATTAAATAAAAAACTTTGAATGTTCCCAAAAAATTTTAACTTACTATAAGAAACAATTGAGGAGAGGTTAATTAAGTGACTAAGTAGTTGGAATTCTGTTACAGGTGACCATTCTGGCTTCACTTCTGCAGAATGTTGTTGTGATCATTTTCTAGTCTGAACAACACATGATTTAATTAGGTGTTCTCCTCTGATTGCAGATAGTTTTAAACTTCACCACCATGGACCTTTACAAGAGCAGTCTCTGTTGGTATGACTATATTGAAGTAAGAGATGGCTACTGGAGAAAATCACCTCTGCTTGGTATGCAACTGTTAAATGCTGCGCTGTCCATAGTTACCATACTCACTGAGTTCAGTGGGCTTGCTTGCTGTTGAACCCAAAACAACCCTCTTGGGTTTTAGGTGTCTAGAATGTATCCAAACTTAGGGATTGTAAAAAAACTCTAAATGGCCTCAAATAAGTCGTTTATTCAACTTCAAGCCTCAAGCCTTCCTTTCATTGCAGCTAGCTGTTATTCAGCTGCATGTGGAAAGATGAAAACCACAAAATGTGCAACTTTTTGCTTTGCTTATGGGTATTGAAATGTGAAGTTACCATAGTTTTGTTCACAGAAATAGGGAAATAGTATACAGACAAATCTGTAGAGCATGTGATGGGAAATCCATACAGCATGTGATGAGCACATGCACTGTGGTTGAGAGCACCCACTGTAGAGTTGTACGTATGAGCTCTTTTCCTGTACTTTTAAAATTATGAACAGAAGATTACTTCTGTTTCATCTTTGCATGTCCTTCCCTGCTCTTGCAGAGAAAAGACATGCAAAGCTATAATGAATTAAGTCTTAGAGTTCCAACTAATGTGCAGGCTGCAGCCATTCTTTTCTTAATGCAGAGGTCTGGTGGGGAGATTTCAGACCCTGTAATGCCACTGCCCAATCCAGAGGCTTGGTTTGATATCCCGTGATCTTCTCTGATTGAAACGCGGGATTTCAGACCCTAGGAAACATGAACATCTCCAACTCCTTGGGTCAGTTTTGTTGTTGTTTTTAGAATGAAGACTAAACCTGTTTGTTAGCATCCTAACAGCCACAATTTAAAAACAGCAAAAAAGAAGGAAAAGGAAGCAGATACAGAGGACAGCTTTTTAACAGTAGTGCCTATTTTCTTGGCCTTAAAAATAAAAGAAGAAACAGTTAAGACCAGACAGTAATTAACCTTTTCTCCTGTTCCCTTCTCTATCACCTAGACAAACAGAAATTTCACCACCTAGGCTGAATTTAAGAGGATAATATAGTCTAGGGTCGTTTGGATGTTAGTTTTTAAATCTCTTTGGTCCTTAGACACAATGAGCAGTATTACTGTGACCTAGATTACATTCCTCTCTTAAGATTAGTACTCACTTTCCCCTTCCAAAATGCCTGGGTTTGTATGTATAAAAACAATCTATAACAATAATTTTTCTACTTCAGTCCCCTAAAGGTTTTATACTTAGACTTCTGAGCCTGACTGCAATGAAAAGAAGTACTGAAACCTTTATAATAAAATCTTTGTGTATTATGTCCTGATCTGCAGAAACGCATGTGCTTAACCATAAGCGTGTGAATAGTTCCACTGAGTTGGTTATGCTACTCCTGTTTACAATGTTAAACACTTGTGTAAATGTTTGCAATGTTTGGCTTCAGAGGTGGCAGAAAATGCAGTTACTGGTTGCATGTTTTTAGGCAGGTTTTGTGGTGACAAACTGCCAGAAGTCCTCGCATCCTCCGACAGCAGGATGTGGATCGAGTTCCGCAGCAGCAGCAACTGGGTTGGGAAAGGTTTTGCAGCAATTTATGAAGGTAAGCTTCTTATAGCATTAAAAATTACTTGATTATGGAGGAAAAATATTAACTTGGATATATAAAAAAAAAAAAGTCAAAAATAACCTAATATGAAATCAGTATTTTATTACTAAAAGAGACAGTAGGTGTTAACTTACCAGACAGAACATTTTGAAACTCTTCTTGTGATCAGATTTCAGATGACCTCTTTTCCAGGGACACCACTGATAACATTCAGAAGCATTTTTTACCAGTCATTTAATTAACTAAATGTGCATGTTCTTGTGCTTAGTGCATGGAAGGATTTCTTTGAGTACTTTCTGTTTATTCTTCAGAAAAATCTGACTTAAATTTTCCATATGCTCTGGGATGACTTAATAGAGACACTCCCCCACACCGAGTATATTAGCAAGTCAACATTCACCTGTTTAAAATAGAGCCTGTTTTCTTAAATATTGAATCTAGTAGTAGTAAACTGTATGATTTAGTTGATATTCAGAGATCTTTACATCGTTATCAATAAGGACCCCAAAAAGTGCACTTACTTCTCATTAAAATATTTTTTGTTTATATTAGCTGTTTCTTCAAATTCAGTGTAAGCTTGAAGCGATAAACCAGAGGTTAAAATGCATAGATCATTGTAAAAGATGAGATTTTTCTCTCATTTGTCTCTTTCTAAAGGTCAGTAAACATTAATGAAGAATGTTTATTAAATATATTTCAAAGGTGAACAAAAAGGAAAATTTAATTATTTTGACCTTTTGAATATATTCTGTAAAATGTATAGATTCAGATTTTCCATGATTCTAAAGTCTTCCTGAATCTTGTAGACATGTTTAGAGCTATTAGAAATGCTGAATTATATTTGCTAACTGAAATACGAATAGTGGTTTAAATGGATTGTGTTTTCAATACTTTGTCCTTGGTAGACTTTTTAAGTCTTCTCCAGAATAATCTTATCATTGGTGTTAAAAAGAGGAGCATAAGATATCAGTTTGGACATGGGGAACAGAAAATGTCATTATCGCCAATAAGAATTTTATGCTTTTACCAGCTATCTGTGGAGGTGAAATCCACAAAAACGAAGGCCAGATCCAGTCTCCAAATTATCCTGATGACTACAGACCAATGAAGGAATGTGTGTGGAAAATAACAGTGTCAGAAAACTACAATGTAGGATTAACCTTTCAAGCATTTGAGGTAAAGCCTTTTAACTGATCTCAGAAAAGCATCTAGTGGATAAGTGATAGTGACATTTAAGGGAATCCTCATTAAACCTGAGAAAGAATTTAAGAATTCTCTATGAAAAATAAGTTCCAGAATCCAATTCTACTCTCCGTGAAACCTTCCTTTCTGCAGGAATTTTCAGGAAGATTAAAGGTTTTTCATGTTTTCTATGCTATTTGAATTAGAATGTTTGAAGTACTGACAACAGTTGCAGTTTAGCCATATACATAATCCAGTTCAGTAAGGCTGCTTTAATATTCTGTTAAATAATCAGGATTTTTTATATTTGCTAAATCTTACTGTTAAAAAGGAATGTCTATCTGGAAAGAAACCACTGTGGTTTTTGGCTTCTGTTTTGAGAAGAAAGAAAGAATGAAAAAAAAAAAAACTACTTAAATTCAGTTTATAAACCTATATTTAGAGAGGGAAGTAAAAAACCATGGTGAGTCATACTTGCTTGTCTTTAGTGTACATCTCTGTGTATAACACTGCTAAACAGTGGTAAACTCTTGTATAACAAAGAAAAATGATATTTCATACATCTTTTTTATGCATACATGGTACACTGTCTTGAAGTTTGTAGATCAATTTCATAGCATACTTTAAGTTCACTTGTTTTATTTGAATATGCTTCAACAGTAATGACATGAAGAATTTTTTTTTTAAATCTAAAGTTTTTGGCTTTATGGTGCACATAGATATAAACACAGGTATAATACAGATATAATTTCCAACCTGTAATTTTAGTCTTACAGACTTCAGGGGTATGGCATATTTTTGCTATGACTGGTGAAAGGTCTGAGCATGAGTTGATAAGGGTTTGGGACTTTATTGGCAATTATGAATATGAACAATGGAAATGTTAATAATTTCACAGATTCTACTTCATTTTCCCTTTTTCATGTCCTGAATTAATGTTCGATCTAGTGCAGACAAGATCAGCTCTCCCTGCTCAAAGATTTTTCCAAGGGCCATTCAGACTCTGCATTGGCCTGGCTCAAGATTAGTTAACATAGTATGTCAGTCTCTCTTTTTAAACACTGTTGAAAATGAACAATGTTTTCAGTAACTTTATATAATTTACTAACTAGATATGGAGCTTTCCTAGGCTGCCACTGGTGCTCAGTACTTTTTAGTGTGATCCCAAGAGAAATGGCACTATGCCTCTGCATAAGAGACTTGCCACAATATTTGATCTCCATGCAGATGCTCAGCGTTGGTCTAAATGCGCAGTACATTATTGCTTGAACTGACCCCAGTTCAGTATCACCTCTGGGAGAATCAAACTTCCATCTCTTCTTACCTTTCAGGACCTTTTTTTAATCACCAAATTAGGGACTATTTGCAAGTGTGAAGATGGCATGTTCATGCCTCACCACATAGAAAATAATTAGAAGCAAAGGACCAGCAAATGAGAGCACAATTTAGTAGACTAGTGGCTAAGGCTGTAAGAAGAAATGTCCAGTTTTTCCCCCAGACTATTTAGTATTATGGCACTCTCTAGAGGTGAAACATATGGACTGACGCCTCATAAGAAGAAAGAGGAAATTGAGCAGAAGTATAGTTGAGTGGTATTCTGAAGTTAGTACCTCTGCTAGATGTGTTTTGAAAGGGGGCAAAAAAAAAAAAAAAAATCCAACAGCAGGGACATGAAAGGTACATACTTTTCCAGGGAGAGTTTGAACTGTGATTCCAGAGTGGCAAGATGCCCTTGAGCACCAAATGAGGTGCCCTAGAAAGGCAAAAGACTTCTGTTAGATCTGTCTTCACAGTGTTTCTTCCTGGCTCCCCACTGAGAGTGAGAGTTGCTTTGGAAACTGCTCTGAAGTGCCTTGCCTAGACATTCACCATTGGGTCTGATTTCCATTTCGGGTCCAAGTGCCTGAACGTAGGTGTTCTGGTTTTTGGTACTAAGTCCCTCTCTGGACTGAATCCTTGGTGCACTGCCCAGTAAAACAAATAGTCGTTTAAAAATCACAGTTCTTCAAGCCAGCTGAGATCAAAAAAAGTAAATGTCAGGCCAAAGAGTTATTGCAGTGTGTTTGTGAGAAAATTACTTCTCTGTCCTTTGAAAGGTACAGTTAAGTAAGAGGAATTCTCATTATCCATATGTAATTCTAGAAAAAATAACTGTATAAATAACCTTCACTCTGAAATGAAAGCACTAGGAAAGCTGAGAATTTCAAACTGTATCAATGAGTCATCTTGTTTTGCCTGCTGCGGGCAATGCATTTTCCACTGAGTGTGGGATTACCCTTTCTTATTTGGCTGTCTGATGGGCAGCTACACTTTCCAGTGTCTAGATGACAGTAGAGATGTTGGGACTGGTAACTCCATCTTTTTGCTTCATTGTTATAGTCACTTTTATTATATTGTTCTTTGAAAAGTAGTGGTTCTTGGTTTGTGGGTGGTGTTTTGGGGTTTTTTTATTTGTTTGTTTGTTTGTTTTTAAAAAAAGAACTTTTGTTGGCATGCAGTCTTACCAGCTAAGGCAATTCAGAGGGTTTGTAGACCTGAGCCATGTTAATCTTCCTCATTTGAGTGGCCCTGTTAATCTTTGTGTAGATAGCATTCATTTAAATTATTTTTACATGTCAGGGACTAAAATTTACCTGATCTTCTGATTCCACTAGGCATACATCCCACCTTTTATGACTAAAGTCTATGACCTGAGTCAGATATGTTTACCTGTACTAGAATTCGACTCTGTCAACAAATAAATTAACAATAACAAAAAGTAATTGGAAGATTTCTCCTGAAATATGGTTGCTCCCGGATTTGCTTTTCAAATCCTCTTGTCTCTGTTTGCTGTTTGTTTTTTTTTTAAATATATATATTTTTTCCTTTTGGGGGAGTGCTACAAAACAAAGATAGTCTGGAATTTTTAACCAAATATATTTTAGTCTAAAGTAATTGGTTTGTTTCAGAAATGAAACTAGGTACAAGGAATTTTCTTTTCTTCTGTGGAACCTCTCTGGCTTTCCATTTCACCAGGAGATTTCTTAGTGTTTTCCTGTGCTTATGTGCCTGTCTTTAGAAAATTTTCTGGCATTTTCTCAACTTAGTTCTCTAATGCCATTCAAATTCTGGGTTTCCTCCAAGGCCTTCAGGAGCCGATGGTATCTGTCATTCTCCTATAAGCAATGCATTTTTCTGTAAAACCTGTTTATTTATGCTTTTTTGCATTTGCTAACATTTTGCATATTTCTTCTCATCCACATGGAATATCGATCTTGTGAAATTTTAATGCTCCAGGAAATAAGGTTTACAGGATCAGTCCAGTTACAGCTAAACTCACTGGGAGTCCTTTCATTAACTTGCAGAGATTTTCTACCCTTGCAGCAGGAAGAACAAGAGCATATTGCAAGTGTAATAGATCTTTGTATGGCAGTGTTCCCAGATGACAGTACCATGATGTCCTAAAACCTGAGGTGCAGATAAGCAAAGCACATTTTATACTAGTTCTTTTTCATTGGTTACCAAGTGCCTTGACACCAGTTATCATTTCTCAAAACCACAGTAGTTATCTGTTAGTTTATATATAGATGGAACTATTTAATCCCTTAATATAATAATATTGATAATAATAATGGCATCACTTGCAGTAGTAGTAGCACACTAAAAATAAATGAATATGGTAGAATGGCAACCTTTTGAATTGTTTTATTGAAAATCAATAGCACTTTGAGTTGGTTGACTTTTATAGTCCTAGGAAGTTTAGCAGCTTATTGCTATACAAAATGTATTTTTAGCTGTTGTCTTCTGCCAAAAATAGAGTGATTCTCAGAAAAGAAACTAACAATTCACCTCAATGGGAATTTAGTACATGTAACTCAGAGCTGCACTTGGCCTATGAAAAATCATAATTTCCATATTGCCCCATAGAACATGGAAACATGGGAAAAACAGATGTTAATTAAAAGTCTTGAGTAGTGAAATGACCACAGACATGTGGGGAAAATACACAATTCCTTCATTGATATTAGTGGGCTTTGGACCACGTCACTTCTTTCTACATCAGAGTGCAATATGATTTTTAGTGAGATAACAAGGCAGATTTTGTTTCAAATTGGAATATGATGTCGTGTTTAAAAGTTGTTATTTATATTAATGAAAATTTGGACTCGGTATTACAGTGTCAAAAACTTATCAGTGCTCAGGTAGACACATGCCTGACCACATTAGTTGCAAACATACAATTGCCATTGAAGTCAGCAATAGGTGATTGCATCCCAGATCTTCATGACTTTTCTCACTCATTTCCCAAACTCTGGCCCAAAGCAATTCCTGAGCAAACAGCTAAGAAATTACAGTAAATGGCAATACGGAATGTGCCAGAGAAGTGAGTGGGAGAAAATTACGTATGTAAATGCCTGAAGAATTGGAAAGTTGGAAAGAAGACAAGCAAATTTTGTGTCTAAGTGCCATATTTTGATGCCATTAAAATGAAATAAAATGAAAGAGCCCCTTCCCCCGATTTTCCCTCTTTACATAAAAGAAGCAGAAATCCTAATGTGCTAAATGAAAGCTCCTTAGTCTGTGGTGGTTGCTGAGCTTAGTGCTGGTCATAATGCACAATTAGAGCAGAGTACCAGCAGCCACATGTACTAACTGTGCTGCTTATGTGCAAGAAAAACTCTGTCTGGAGAGAAGATGTGGATTTTTCTCGGTTTGGTTTGGTTTTGACTTCTTTGTCATTTTAACAGAATTTGGGTGTGCTGAATTAAATTTGAGGCTTATCCAACCCCTTCTCCCTGACTGTGGTCCCATCCCCCCCATCCCTTAACCTACCTCACGATTCAGCCACTTAGTTGAACAATAGTTTTCTTAGAGGAATTATTTTTGAATGCTTGGATTTAGTTAATTCTTTTATAACTAAGATGTTATATTATTTGAGTAACGTGAAGTAATCCTGCAGTAAAATGACCCAGATCAAGAGGGTTTTCAATTCTGTTGGGAAAGATACTCTCTCAATAAAGACAGGCATCATAAATTATCTAGGCTCCAGATAGGATCGTATCTGGGTTGCAACTGCTTTCCTCTTTGGTGCAATTCCCACTCTGACTGACTCTGCAAATACTATTATGTAAGGAGCACAAGGCTTGCTACCCAAGTAGAAATGCACACATGTACACTCACATATTAGTCTATGTTTGGATGTTATCTGGCAGGAGGTTTAAATGAGAGGGACATTTTCAGTTGTTCTGGTTTCAGCAGGTTTCTCCATCAGTACAGCAAAGATTCACTCATTGACTCAGAAAGTCAAAAGAAGACACCTGAGATCAGGAATCGTGCAACAGAAACCAGACACATCAGGTGCAGAAAAATAATGACGATTTTTTTTTTTGTCATCTGTTCTATTGGCTACTTAAGAGCTGATAATTTTACAAGTGTGTTTGGATCTAATTCTACAGATGCCCTAAACTCTTAATGAACTGTTATTTTTTACACTTACCCAGCAACATCTGTGGGTAGTGATGAATGCAAAATTTTGAACTGTGTTGAGGATAAAGGAAGGAAATAAAATACTGATCATCACCTGAAGTAGAACAGGTTGATAAAGTCTAAAAGTCGTATTTATATTGATCAAAATTGAGCTTTTTAATATTTCAGAACCAATTAATATTTCTGACCTGTTTAGTTGTTGAACCATTAATCTTGTATACTTGAGTGTACATGAAAAAGAGGACTTTACTTGAGCTCATAGTAGGAATTTGAGAACATTAGGAAGCGTAGAGGTAAGCATGCCTTTTTTAGTTACTTTTTTCCAGTTAGACTGTTGTGTCCTGTGTCAACAATTTTTTCTTGTAAAAAACAAGTATAGTTAAAAACAGTCCAGTGATGCTTGTTCATCTTCCTGATGTTTGAACCCTAAACAGAGAACCCTAACCTTAACTTTGAAAAATTTCTATTCTGTTTATTATCTGATTGATATTTGATATTTATGGTCAAGTTCAAATAGGTCACTTTAAAACTAATTTTTTACAGATTGAAAGACATGATAACTGTGCATATGACTACTTGGAAATTCGTGATGGAACAAATGAGAACAGTCCTTTAATTGGTCACTTTTGTGGCTATGACAAGCCAGAAGACATTAGATCTACCTCTAATACCCTGTGGATGAAGTTTGTTTCTGATGGAACCGTTAACAAAGCAGGGTTTGCAGCTAACTTTTTTAAAGGTAAATGCTAAAGGATATTCTGGGAGCTGTGAACTTCTTATCACTTGGTTTTGTACTAGAAAAATTATGACAAGATATTAAAAATATTTCTCAAACTATTTTTACTAATATCAGTTCTGTACTGCCTCCAGCATATTTTTTAGCTCGGCATACATTTTATCAAAAAACCCCAGTAGACATATTTGAATCTCCTTGCAAAATATGCCCAAAGAATGAAGGAACATATTCAGTGCAACTTCCTACTGTCTTCAGGTTCAAATAATCAGCTTAGTTTTGAAACACCTTTGAAACATACCTAATCTTGTAAAAAATGGCTTTTTTTGTCATTGTGTTATCAAATATAAAGTTAAGTAGTATAATCACAAATGTGTCTATTCTGTTTACGTTGTCTTTTTCTTTTGTTTAAGTGGTGTGTTATTTCTAATCTGTTTGCTGCATTAGGCTGCTTTATCAATTTACCTTCTGTGAGCAAGAAAAAAAATTAAAAAAACCCCAAACAGCTGAGAAATCACAGTGATCAATGGCCTCAAAGTCTTCCTCCATTTTTTTTTGG